TATATATATATATATATATATATATATATATATATATATATATATATACCAGTATAACATCAAGTCTTATCATTTGTAAATGTATATTCTTTTTTTCTTCTTACTTTATTAAATTTTGGAAGTAACGAGTAGGTCGTTTAATTCTACGATCAAGCTTAGAAAATGACTATTAATAATTTTCAACATCTGAAAATATTCATATCAATTGTTATTAAATTCTAATCGATAAATTCTAATCCACAGTAAATTATCGTCTATACAACGAACGGAGAACATCTTCAATTACTATCAATATTATTATCATTACCGTTAACATTATAACTATCATTATCGTTATCGTTATCACTAATATCATTATTATTACTATTATTATATTAATATAGAACACACAGTGCCACTGTTTTATATAACACAAATTGTTACTATGAAGCTACAGTATTTTAAAAAATATTTGTATATAAAAAAGAAAATGTATATATATATATAATAAACTAGAGTTCTACAATCGAACAACCTCTCTACTGACATTCTAGAAAAAGATTTGTTTACACATTATGTCCTAGTAAATATCACAACCTGAAACTACAACTATTGTCATTATGCACAATGAAAAATGATAGATACATTACTATTATTATTAGTAAATGAAAATAGAAAAGAGATTCAAGTCAATGTATTGTAAAAAGAAAATATAAAAATAATACAAAAATAAATGAGACATAGATAAAAAAGAAAAATATTTAAGAATCATCGCTATCACTTTCTGGACGTTCACGTGGTTCTTCTTCTACAGGAGGATTGTCAACGTTTCTTTCAGGATTGAACCATCTGTTAACGAACCACCAATGAACCGACAATCTACTGTGATTGCATTCGGCTCTTTCACATCTTCCAAGAAATTGACAAATCCTAGCTAGATTTTGATTTCTTATGCAAGAATCATCACACGTGTGTTGACGTTCAGTTGAACGATTAACTTGACAAACGGAAGCTGATGAAGTAGAAGGATTGTAAGAGGTAGAGGCAAAGATCGATCTGATATTTGCTGAAGTTCCAGGTTCTGTAGATGATCCTCCCGATGATGTTGAAGCAGCAGTACCATCAACAGAATTACCATTGGTTGCTGATCCAGAACACGATCGATCAATTCTACCAATGTGAATTGTCGCATAAAGTGGATTATTTACGGACGAACCAATTCTATTGATCCAATCGACGTATCTTCCAACTTGCATCGATGAACTCGAGCTAGGCATTGTCTTGTTTCGACAAAGACAATTGGCAGGATTTCTGTGATGATCCTTACATCTGGAAGATGATTCGGTAGAACGGTTGCTACCACTAGTAGCAGATAGTTTCGCGTAATCGCCACGACAAAAGGGACATCTGCAGTTTCGAGATAACTGATACATGTACTGTCTTGCAGAATTGGCAGGATCTTGATAACGAAGTTTATTATATAAACTCTGACAGTGATGACAAACATATCTCGAATCTATGTGTCTACAGTAAGGACAAGTACAATGATAACCCAATGGATAAGCTGATCTTCTGCTAGATGCATATGCGAGATTTTCACTAGAAAAACAATTTCTACCGAGTCTTCCTAATCGACTTTGACAAAATTGATTACCTATTCTAGATGAATCTAAATAAACGTGTCTAGGTTGATCGTATTGATTAAAATTTCTCGAATCGATCTCGTTTAAGAAATTACCACCAGAGATCAAATTTAACATTTGATATTTAAAACGAGAATAAGCTCGATTACGGCAGGATGATCGATCGTCGATTCTCTCGTAGATATGATCATCCGTAGGATTCTGATTATTTGGATTATTAACAAGATCGTTGTTACGACCAACTTCAACGTTATTTTCACCTTCATTTTCTTCCTCGTCGTCGTCGTTGTCCAATCTTTCGTAAATATTCTCTTCTGGTTCTTGATGTTGTCGTACTCTGTTATAATTTCTAACAAGATCAACAGGATTTTGATAATTGGGATTTAGATTAGGATGTATTTGAGCCACACCAGCAACAGCAGCTGGTCGATTTTGAAAATTACGACCAACACGAGCAGCATTCTGATAAGCCTCATCTCTTTCTTGATTTCTATTCAAGTTCATAACTACTACAGCCAATTCACCGTTCTCGTATCTTTGACAAACGCAACGAGCTCCTTGACAAGCGTGACTACCAGCACGATATTGCTGAGGAAGATTCTGATCTGCATTTTGCACACCGCTGGGCTCGGCTTCTCGTGATGGTTCAGACACATCGGCAATCGAGTCTGCATTTTGTTCTGTCACGTGCCCAGCGGATTGCAGACCTCACATTGTCGTAGCGGGTGCCATTGGTTTATCAATTATTGCAACACCGGCGTAACTACGACCAATTCCCATACACGTTGGTAAAGTTGTCCAACTATCGGTTCTTGGTGAATAAACTTCAACTGATGCTAAACTGGATAAACCATCGTCACCACCAACTACGTATAATAGGCCATTCAAAGCTACAACACCTTGAATATAAATTATCCAAGTTAATATTTATTCTATTACTTCGATAGAATTTATTCATGATATTTATTACTCACCAGCGTTTCGTCTACAATGAGCCATGTCGCTTATCGGAGACCATTGATTAGTTTCTGGATTAAATGCTTCTACGCTTTTTCTTATTAGTGGACCATCGTGTCCACCAACTGCATATAAAATTCCTTCCAACACACCTACACCGGCTCCACTACGACGAGCAGACATTTCAGGTACTGGTTTCCATTGATCTTTATCAGGATTATAACACTCTACGCTGGATAAACATTGCCGTGATGCTCCATCGTATCCACCAACCTGGAACCATTTATATACATTATGTAATCTTTTTCTATTTCATAAATTTCTATATATGAATAAAAACTCACAGCATAAAGAAGACCTTTTACAACACCAACACCGACACTACTTCTACGTGTTGACATTGGTGCTATCATTCTCCATTCGTGACTATTTGGATCGTATACTTCGGCAGAGTTTAATCCAGTAGACCCATCAAAACCACCAACCTATGAAATATTACAAAATTCTCTTTTACATTTGTATTTGTAAATGTTTATTTAAAAAAAAAAAATTACTTACAGCATAAATGCAATTGCCAAGTACTGCAACACCAAGAGTTGATCTTCTCGCAGACATTTCTGGACAAGGTGACCACTGATCAGTAGTTGCATCATAAATATCTACAGTACGTACTCTTAAAGAACCATTAAAACCTCCTACAGCATAAACCCGATCACCAAGCACAGATAATCCTATAATAAATAAAATATGTTTTGAATCAAATCAAATACACAATTGATTTTTTATATTTATGATAATTACCAGCTCTACAACGTCTTGTTGGTAATTCAGATACCTGGTACCATCTTTCTTCTTTAAAATCATAACATTCGACACTTCTAATTGCTTTTGGAGCTTGACCACCAACTACCAGTAATACTTTTGGTAAGCCACGTGGTTGTCTTGGTTTTGTACGTGGTGTTTTAAATAATGATTTTTGTTCACCCTTCAATAAATGATATTTCAATGCTTCTATTAAAAAATCTTTACCTGAAAATGTATATTATTTAATAAAATGTTTTAGTGCATAATATAAAGTATAATCTTATATAATTGACTTACATTGTAAATTAGCTTTAAGGAGGGGTTCTTCTTCAACACGTTGTACAAGATACTCTTGAGAAAGTAATGGTAAACGAACATGTTCCATTAGTTGAGCTAAATGTGCTTGTCGTGTATCTAAGTCATTATGAACCCATGAAATTACACATTCAAAGACCTTCTCTTCAGATGGAACCATTAAACGATCACTACAAATTAATTTAGCAACTTGTTGTGGAGACAAAGTTAAAAATTCATCTCCATCGACGACTTCTCTGTTAAAAATATTTCAAGTATTGAAAAACACATCAAGAAAATATTATTAATTATTTAAATATATATATAAATTTAAGATATTTATTCTTACGAGAAATGTTGTTCTATGTAACTATCAGCGTGTGCCAATAATTCTAGACATCCATGAAGATCTGCGAATGCACGAATTCCAAGACAATTGGATGGATGTAATTGTGCTTGTAAAAAGTCACAACAAGCATCCCTTACATCAGTTAATTGTAAAAGATTAGCTGCTGGAAGTAATACTTGTACAATATCCTCAGTAACATGAACTTCTGCAGAATATACATAGTCGACTAATAATTCTAAAGCAGAGTAATCTACTCCTTGTAATGTAATTCTTTCTTGATCACGTTCTTCAAAACTTGTAAACATTGCATAAAAGTAAGGACTACAAGCAGCAAGAACCATTTTGTGAGCTGGAACTTCCATTCCTCCATCAGCTACCAAGATTACATCGCATAATAGATTTTTCCTACAAATAATATTGTATTTAACATTTCAAGTAATATATTAAATGATATTATTAGTAGATAATTAAATGATAATATTTACTTGCGCATTTCATTGATTACTTCAAATGCACGATTGGTATGGTGATGATTTCTGTATGGTGGTTTATCTCTGCAACCTTCTCGTGGAACATGTTTTTGAGAACTTTCATCCAAAGAATTTTGACTAGCATATCGAAATAACAGACAGCTGAAAAAGATCAATTAATAAGTATGTTTATCTAAAATAAAAGAAACTATTAATTATTACCTGCCCCTGTTTTCAAAGCCATCATTAGAACTATTGCCAGCATTTTGTGGTTGATTTTGGCCTGCAGATTCCATATCCAAAGAGAATTTCAAATAAATCTAATTACACTTAACTAAATATTAATTTAAAATCAATGAGATAACCATCGAGATGATAATGATACGTCTTTCTAATACGAATTATCATTTAATTTGTCAATCGTTAATGCATTTTATTGCCCTTTGAACAGTATAGACAAAAAAAGAAACCTCAATGATATCACTTAATAGTTCATAATAAAAATTCGTTTTGATTATTGTAGTATAAAGAACACAACGTGAAACAATATTAATTTTCACACGTATTAATTATCGAATAAATAATATTTAGCATTATTTAAATAATTATAATATCGATTAAATAACTTATTGCTTTAATTATACTTTATTCCAATTCATCGTTGTTATTATCAAAACATTGTAGATGCACTATACAACAATGTACTCCATTTTGTGTGTTGCTATGTGTATACCGAACACTGCATATCTGAAGTGTGTGAAAAAAACAAAACTAGACATTTGTTTGGTGTTAACTATTTTCTAGAAGATATCTTTCTTATTCATGTACGATAATACAATCGATATATGCAAGTTGATAGTCGATAAGGTAAATAATTTTAATTCTTCTAAAAGAAACTCACATGATAATTATATAAATGTGACATCTCGAAATGGTATAATTTATCGATAATGTCATATCGAAATCGTTGAATCGATTAAAGAATATATGCACATTTCGTGTAAGACATTCATCTTAGCATCGAGACCACCAGGGGGCAGTAGTAGGTACTTTCCGAGATAACAGTACAACAAACTATCAATGAACGGTACTATTAAAAAACAATATAATATTATCAAAGAATGCAGTATTCTATTTACTATTGCCCATTGATGGTCCTGATGCTAAATAAGATGAATTTTTTTACAAGAGAAGTACACTTTTCTAATGTTCTATGTTATTATATTCTTTGTCGATACGATCAAATATATATTACAGATTCCTAACCTAAATATGCAAAATAATGAATATCATAAATATAAAAAATAAGATTAATATTGTTTTTAATAAAATAAAAAAAAAAAGGATATTATTAACATAATAGAAAATAATATATTGTTGTAATAGATAATTATATTGTTAAATTTATGAAAAGTATCATTTACATGTAGTGTACATATGAAGAAAATATGTCAAACTAAATGAAAGAAAATAATAACCAAAATAATAATAATGTATGTCAGAGTAGATTTAACGTGAAGATATTGCGCAGGATGGAATAGAAAATGGTAGGAGAAGGGAATTTGGTTTTTAATCCATAGGTGTGGATAGATGTAGTGGTAGTGGGTTATGACAGAATAGTAGTAGTAGTAGTAGTAGTAGGAGTAGTAGTAATAGTAATAGTACTAGTATAAGTATGACGAGTTCTGCGCGTTAAAGCATCTAGGGTGCGGCGCTCTCGTCGATGGTTCCTCCCACATCATCGTCGTGGTTGTTGCCATCGTCGTCGTCGTCGTCGTCGTCGTCGTCGTCGTCGTCGTCGTTGAACATTCATCCCTTCCTCAAAGTGAGATGCCCCTTCCTGTCGACGCGTCGAGTTGCGTCGGTGTATGCGGGGTGGCGGCAGCCAGGCGCACGAGGAGTAGGCGGCTCGAAACTGTTCGTTTCCTCTAGTGGCTCTCGTGTGCTCGCGTGACACGTGCGTGAAGGAAAAGACACAACCCCGGTTGATTTTTTTTTTTTCTTTAGTGTTTAGTGGTGAAAATATTCGACGACGAACTCTCGTTAAAACGCAATCCCGTAGTCGCCGCTGCCGCCCCCCTCTCACCACCCCCTTTCAACTCACCACACACTATCGTGTATTACGTTTTTTTTTTTCTTTTCTTTTTTCTTTTTTGTTGACCCCTTGTCAACGAACGTGCGTGTTAATAAAGCCCTTTTATAATTTTTTTCCTTTTTTTTTTTCTATTATTGTTATTATTATTATTATTATTATTCGTGACGAGAGGAAAGATCAAAAACAAAACAGATAGACATACGCACACGTAGATAATAATAAATAAAAACAAAAAAATAATAATAATAATAATATTGAAGAAAAATGAAAGGACAACGTTGATCGGATCGATCCTCTGCCTTCTTCTTCTTCTTCTTCTTCTTCTACCAAAGAGAATCGTCTTATTACGTGTGGGAGACACCATTATATACATATATATATAGATATATATATGTATGGATATATCTATATATATGTATATATGTATGTCTATAAAATACACTCGGTGTGTTTGGTCTCTTTTATTTCGAAACGTTCAACTTTTATCTTTTGATCATCCAATCGATTTCTTAAAACGAGAAGAGAGTGAGATAGATAGATACATAGATAGATAGAAAGAGAGAGAGAAAGACAGAGAGAGAGAGAGAGAGAGAGAGAGAAAGTTCTCTTTTTTTCCTCTCCATTTCTTCTTTTATTCCCTTTTCTCATGAATCTTTGAATCTTTTACAATTGCTTTTGTATCTTTGAGAATCCTTTTCTAAGTTTCCTATCAAAAATTAATTTCAAATTTAACATAATACACGTATCCGAGAGTATATTCTTCATTTCTGTTTGTTCATTTGAAAATAGTTGAATCCTTGAGTGGATTGAAAAAGAGAAATAAAAAAAAACAAAAAAAAAAAAAAGGCAAAAATCAGATTGATATTCAACGTTCTCTAACGGATGGATAGATAGACGAATTAGTCTAATCACTTTTCATAGTTTCCAATGGCTTCGATCCAAAGTTTCGTTGCAATCTTCCTATATTGCAGATCTATCGGTTCAGTTCTTTTTTTTTTTTTTCATTTCTAGGATGAAATTTCTCTCGGGGAATTTGGATTCTTCTTTTTTTTTTATTCCATTCCATACCATCGTAAATTATCTAGCGACGCATTGACGCATCATTCGCGTTACGTTACTGGACAGCAAAATTTTTGTCAATGGTTTTTAGGTATAATCGAATTGTTTGAAAATGTTCTTCTACTATGATTGATAGGAAATGTCCGTTTTCTGATGTACACATTGTGTTCATTGATTTATTTTTTATTTTTATACATATTTCAAACATCAAATATATCTCATCTCATCTCATCTCGTTCAAAGTGTAATTGAAAACAAATGTATGAGATAATAACGTAAATTATTTTGTAAAAGAATGTTTTTTTGTTTTTAAAGTAAAAAAAAAAAAGGAGAAGATTATGCAAATAAAATGGACGGAGTTAATTTAAACGTACGATCGAATAATAAATTTTCATTGAAAGTAAAAAAAAAAAAAAACCAAAACAAAACAAAACAAAACAAGAAAAATACTTTCGAATTGATTTATCAAACTAAATTGGCAATTGAATTAAATCGAGATAATCAAAGGATCGTTTCAAGTAACCATGCAATAATCCATCGTCGAGCCCTTTCGAAGGAATTCGATTTATTTTCCAAAAGACTTTAATATATATATCGTTTGATCAAGGAAAGAAAAATTTATGGACGATATATCTGTCAGTCGAACTTGGAACACATTATTTTCTAAAAGAAAGAAAATACTTTCTTTCTTTCTTTTGTAAAACACACATTTATCGTATTCATTCTTTACTATATCGATATATACTTTAAATCGCGTGTCACATAATTGAGATAACATACGTTTGCACTTTCTTAAATTCGATTTTACACGAGTTTTAATCAAGTTTGAAATCATTTGTTACATTTAATAGAAATAGATTATTGATTTGTTTGAGATTTGATAGATTTCTATTTACGATTGATATTGATTTTTATAGTGAACAATAGTTGATTGTATTATTTTTTTTTTTTTTTTTATTCTTGTTTAGATTATGTTTAATTTATATTAATTACTAGACAAAAAAATAGAAAAGATAGAAATTTTTCAATTTATACATTAAAGATTAGAAAAAGAAAATAAACGTGATAATTATTTTACATGAAAATGATGCAAAAAGATACAACAAAAATATATATATATATATTTTTAATATATATATTTTATTTTATTTTATATATATAAAATAAGTAATTGGATTGAAATAAAAAAAAAAAAACGTAGAAAAATCTAGAAACTAGGAAACACCTTGAAAAAAAATTGTGTAATAGGAAAGAAAAAAAATCTGTATATAGAAAGGTACATCAGAAATGGTATATCAAATCATGGTATAGGTGTCTGCATCAAACTCAGGGGAATACCTATGTATAAAGGTAATGTAGGAAAAGTGAACAAGAGATGAGATAAAGTAAGAAAGAAAGAGAAAGTATAGAGATAGAGATAGAGAGATAGAATAGTAAATATATAAAGGAACCACAGTAAATTCGCATGAAAGGTAGACGTGTTTGTAAAAAAGTAACACGTTCGTTTCATGAAATGTCTGTAGTTTATGACAATATTTAATCCATTTAGAGAGTAAAAAAAAAAGAAAAAGAGAACAAAATCAAGTAGAATAAGAAGAAGAAGAAGAAGAAGAAGAATAAAAAAAGAATAAAGAAAAAAAAAATCTAAGGGGATGAAAAAGAAAGAAAGAAAGAAAGAAAGAAAAAAGAATAGAAAAGAGAAATATGGAACGAACATAACACCTCGGAGCTGTTCGGTGTGTTTCGTTGTTCTCGTTTAGAAGTCGATGATGCGTTTCTACGATGCCCCGTGTCTTCGTTCGTTTCTACTGGTGGTAATCCAGTTATGCTCGAGCTACCACAGTTTGCTAGCTAGCTAGTTCTATCTAGCTAGTTGTATAGTTAGTTTAGGTTACCTATGTTTTAGTCCGATAATCGTTTCGACCGACTTCTTCCGGATAGTACAATTATTCCATTATTTATTTTGTTGTTTTGTTTGTTTTTCTTTTAGTTTTATTTCATTTCTTTGTCTATCTTGTTTTTATAGTAGTTTTTGATGCTTTTCATAATTAAAATCAGAATACGTGATTATTGTAATTATAAAGATAATATTAATAATTTGGTGTTAACATTTATTTGAACATTATTTTGAAATATTTTATAATAATTTAAATTAATATTATATATATAAATGCAATATTAAACATTATAATAATTAAAATTAATATTAAATACAATATTAAATATTATAATAATTAAAATTATTATTAAATACAATATTAAACAATATAATAATTTAAATTAATAATAAATACAATATTAAATATTACAATAATTTAAATTAATATTAAATACAATATTAAATATTATAATAATTTAAATTAATATTAAATACAATATTAGATATTATAATAATTAAAATTAATATTATATAATAATTAATTACAATATTTAATTAATAAAAAAAAAAAAAAAACAAATCACAGAATGAACTACAGTTAAATCTCGTCTCTCAATTTCAATGACATATCAAAACGTCATGTGCATCTTTACCAAACAAATGTATGACGTATTACTACGTCAAATGTAGCCAAAGGATTAATGTTGATTTATCTTGTCTCGTTTCTAATGTTCAATGATCGGACTATTTTTGTGTTCATTTCTTCTGATATTTTTGAAATGGTATAGATAGGTGTTGATTTTTTTGTATTTTTTTGTCGAAACTTTTTAACAGGAAGGAGATTAACTTAGGAGGGGGACAAGATTACTGGCAACACCATATTGAGAGTTTTCCATGTGAGATTTCTCCTAACGCTTATCACGAGCCTTGGCACGTAGCAAGTACTTACTAGGATACTCGTATATCACTCGACACAGTTCAACTCAGAAGACAGAAACTCTTTTGTGACGTTCTTGGCAAACCGCTAAGAAATTCTTTACCTAACATCTCTTTTTCGAATAATAGTAGTACTGTATCCTTTTTTCTTTTCTTTTTTTCTTTCTTTCTTTCTCTACTAAAAGTTCACTTTTCCCTTCTCTTTCCTTCTCTTTTACTCTTCTTCTTTTTATTCGTCAATCTCTTCCTGTTCTTATTAAATTCCTTTTAATGAGAGATCAAATAAAAGAAGAAATCATTCATCTTGTTTCTCGTTTATTTCATTTACGATAACGTAAATTACGAATCGTATGAGTGGTTATACGAAACACAAAGAAATTGGGGATGATAAAGAAGTGATTTGTTTTATTTATTTTTTTATTTTTAATATGATCAATGTATATTTTCCACGAATTAATTCTTTTCTAGATACTTTGGTTAAAGTTTGAGACATTAATATTGGCTCGGGGTTTGGTTTCCAACTTGGCGCAATACTCTCGACAAGATATTTGCTTCTTTTTTTTTTTTTTACTATTTCTCGATAACACCATCCCCCTTACTCTCCTAACCTTTACTATTCTCATCCTTTTTCTTTCTTTATCATTTTTCTTTATCCTTTTATCTTCTTTTTTTTTATTCTATGAAGCTTCGTACTACTACTACTACTACTTTATCGAATTTTTTGGGCTCCTTAAGTTTTCCTATGCTCTTTATTAAGGGTAGAAGTAGAAAACTAAAAAAAAATAGAAATAAAAAAAAGTCTTTTCCTATTCTTTCTTAGACCATATTTGTGATCTTTCGGTATTCGAGATATTTGATTTTCCAAGAATTGACCTTCGTCTTCGATTATATCACGACTCGTGGTCGTTCTAGAATTTAATTATTCTCAGAGTGGATGCTGGATGTGGATTATAGTCATCGACCAAGATTTCGAGGTTACGGACTTATAGGACGAGCAAAAAGGATTTCTTTTTTTTTCTCTCTCTCTCATCCTCTCACCTCATCCAACCCCCCTATCGTCAACCTTTTCATTCAATTCTTTTCACTCGTATATTAATAAATTAAAAAATATTTATGAACGTGAAGAACAAGAAGAAGAAGAAGGACAACACATTTGAGTTCAGTGAATATATGAAAATATTCCAAGTGTATTAATTTAACAATAATAATAACAATTAGAACATAAAACTATGTGTGAGTCAGTGATCAAAGTATACACATCGAACATTTCAATGAAACACATAAGTTTGTTGTTAATTAATTCAAGATAATAAATAAGGTGTATGAAATTTATTTACATTATTGGAATAATTTTGACGGTGTTACGAAAAGAGTGATGGAAAGAAATCGAGAGAAAAAACGGAAGGAACAAGAAGAGGAAGATGGGGTTCCAAAAATCCTCGAAATGTCTTCCTTAAATAAACAAAATATATAATATATTTCTTTTGACTTTGTTTTGTTTTCTGTTCAAAGACTTACATCGACAATTATTCTATTACCTGTTCAAAAAAAAAACGAAAAAAAGAATCAAAAAAGAATCTTCAAAATCAAATGAAAGTATGACGAACGATTGTTTCATTAATTTTCATCATTTTTCTTCTCGAAAAGTGGGTTAGTTGGGTGGTTGGAAGGAGAAGGTCAACGAACGTTCAATAACACAAAATATATTTGTTCTTTTCTTTTTTCTTGTAAAGTCAGTGAAATTGTCAAAAAGTTTGAAGTGTGAAACGTAAAAAAAAAAAACGTCTTTTGTGTTTTAATTAACATAAATGGAACAAGAAAAAGTTGTAGACATTTTGTTAAAAGATTAACATTGGGTATCAACAAATTGGAAGAAAAAAGAAAAAAAAATGATTACGCGAATTGTGTAAGTGTGCGAGTGTGTATACGTGTTATCATCGTGCGTTCAATAATAAAAAAAGGAGAAAGAAAACGTTGGAGAAATTAAAAAAAAAAAAAAAAAAAAATAAACGTGGAAATCAAGGAACAAAAGTGTTGGTTGAGAAATGAACGGAAGGTTTTAGGATGAAATGATAGTAAAAAATATTCGTCCAATTTTTTGTTTGTGAACAACGAACGAAGGATTACAAAAAAAAAAAATAAAAAAATAAAAATAAAAAAAAAAGAAAAAAAAGAAAAAACGTGAGTTTGTACGAGACGAAAAGATTCACATGTACATATATAATATATAATATATAATATATATGTATGTATACATAGAAACATATGTAACTCACGTATCACATATATCTATATATATATCTATATATATGTATATGTGTAAGAACGAAGAAAGATAACTCGAGAAAAGAGAGGAATATATTTTCAAGGACTCAAGGACTTTTACGATTTTTCTTTTTCTTTTTCTCTTTCTCTTTCTCTTTCTTTTTTTGTCTATTTCAACTATATATCTTTCTTTATCTATTTTCTTTTTTCTTCCATCCATCTATTCATTCGTTTGTTCACACACGTTGACGTTTATTTTTCCGTTCCTTTGGGAAACTTTATCGTAGAAAATTTTGGTGTTCCATTTGTGTGTGTGTTTTAAAAAACGTAACAAATAAAAAAAAAAGAAAAAGAACCACGGATTTTCTATCTGCACACCTTTTATCACGTCATTACGATTACACCTTTTTTTTTTTTGAAAATAAAAAAACAAATAATATAAAGAAAGAAATCAAAGAAGAGAGAAAAGAAGAAAAGAAGAAAATAGAAGCATAAAAATAAAAATAAAAATAAAAATAAAAATAAAATATAAAAGAAAAATAATGTGAATCAAAGGACGATGAATTGTTATCCTGACACGAGCTTTGCAGTAAGGTGGAGACTCTTTATCAGGAACAGAAAGAAATGAAGTTATCAGTGTCGGCTTACAGAGCTCAGGCTAGTGCTCATAAAAAAATCCTTTGCAATTATCAACAACAACTTAGTTACGGTGCTACAAATCAGGCATCCTCGAGCCGGACCCCCTCGGACCCCGCTGCGGTCCTGTCTGGCCTCAAGGTAAGCCATTTTTTTGTTAATCAACAAAATCAACAACATTTCTTAGACATCGTCAAAGTTTCTATTTCTTTTTTGTTTATTTGCTTTTTTCTGTTTTTTTTTTTTTTTTTCAATCGATCGATAAAACAAATCCTTGGAAATACACACACATACATACATAAACACACTTGTTCATCGAATTAATTCATCGATTATTATTTATATTATTATTATTATTGTTGTTGTTGTTATTATGATTGAAATGAGTATTGTCGAGTTTTCAAACGACGACACGTTTATAGTGATTTTTGTTTGTTGGTTTTTTTGTTTTTTTTTAATTTAAAATTTAATTGATTAAAACATTTGTTTCTTTTTTTCTATGGATGATGGATGCAGCTCTGAATGTACCAATGTAGGAGTGTGCTCGCGATCTTAGAAAATGTCACAAAGACAGCCAGTGGTTCGTATATCGCTCCCTGTAAGTGTCAAAAAAAAACAAAAAAAAAAGCCCAATTTCGAAGTATCCACAAAATTTTGTTTTTAACTTTTCTTCCCTTTGTGTTTATCCATGAATATTACTTACGGTGCAAGTTGTAATAAGTTAGAAATGTTTTTTACATTCTTCCTTTATTATCGTATTTAAAAAACCACCCTCACACTTCATCCCTTATTAGAATCATCATCGTTATTTACAAATTAGTTGGATTTTATTATTACGTAATTATTAATTATTATTCATTTATTTAGCACGTATTGTTACAATTTTCTATTTTTCTTCTTTCATTTTATTGTATTTATTATCCAATGATGTATTATGCAACAGACGACACCTCTCATTCCTCAGATCGATGTATTATTTTTTAATTGTATTTTATTTTCTATGATTTATTTTTCTTTCATTGATGTTTAGTTCATATTTTTCTTTTATTATAATACACATATATATATATATATATATNATATATATATATATATATATATATATATATATATATATATATATATATATATATATATATATGTTTGTTTCGTTCGAATGAAAAATCTTAATGGATATAGTTGGTTTATTGTCGTTTATATAAACACGTTTCCTCTCTCTTTTCAATTAATATATTATTCTCTTTTGAACTTTATTCAACCATTTAATATACATTTCATTTGTTAATAAAATTCGTGGCACGTTTTTTTTTTGATACATCATACTTGTATTCGGTTTTAAATTAAAAGTTTTCCTGTTTTTTTTTTTTTTTTCTATTCGAATATTTTAATGAAAATGTTTAACAAATTATTTCCGTATTTTCAATGTAATCTTATTTTCTCGAAATATTTCAAATTGTTCTTTTCCTATCAATGTTTTGGATTTTTCCCCTTTAACTTACATGATTATGTTAATGTTTGCATTTTATTTCAATTTTTCTTTTGACTAGGACAATGTGCATTTTTGATATAAAAAAAGAATCAATTTTTGATGATTCACTTTGATTTTCCATTTGATGTACAGAAATATTTCACATTTTTTTTTTCTTTTGCAATCTCAGTGTTCAAAATTTTGTCCTTTTTGTAATAAAATTTTCAAACGCGTGTCAAATTTCTTCTTTATTTTCATTCATTTTCAAGACACATATAACAAATATATAAAAAAACTTTTTCACTTTTTTTTCTTTTTCAATTTTGCTTCTTTTTTTTTTTTATTTATTTATTTATGAAATGTCAGATTTGAAACACATGGAAGAAAGACACGTGTCAGATCACTTTAATATTAACAAAGTTTACACAATACTAAAAGTTATTTGCAAGGAAAAATACTAAGAAACTTCTTAATGCAATATAAATATGTATACAGTAATAAAGTTACACAAATGTATTTGTATATAATAAAATCATTTTATTATCACACATACATTTCATATTTTGAGACTGATATAAATTTAATTATCAAAATAATAATATTTTATTTTTTTTAAATGATAAGAATAATATCATTTGAAATGAAATGAGAATAAAATGAATATTATTCAGACGTCTAGTAAATATCATATAAAATGCAAAGCAAGATGATAAACCAAGTACTACTTGGAAAAATATTAATCCCTTCGTTACTAGTGACCTATATACCAACCATCAGCCATGCAAATACCCCGTATGAACGGCTGATCCATATACGGGGTCGTACCATGCATGTTGCTACGATACTTGCATAGAAACGAGTTTACAATATTACAATATTCACATTAAAAGCATATTGTTAACAAAAAGCTTTTATAATGATATTTTTATTAAATATAAATAATCTCGTATATGACAAATAATATTTATCTCTCTAACAATAAAATATTTCATTTTACATTACAATACATATATATATATATATATGTATATGTATGAGTTTGAAAATGAATTAATTCTAAAGTACATTTATTTATAATAACAATTGTAAAATTTTGCATTACAATGTATTAAAGATGAAATATTAATTATTGACAATTATTAATGAAAACAATTACGAATATTTTTGTTTGCATAATAATTTACAAATATTATATATTATAATTTATTTTAATTATTTATTATTTTATTTATATATTAATTTTATATAATTATATATATATTTTAAACATTTATAAATGTTTTTAAATTATTAAAAAAAAATTATAAATATTCAATTGCATATTGTTAACGATAGGGTTATAATTATATATTTATTAAATATAAATAATCTCGTGTGTATGATAAATTTTACAATCACATATATATATATATATATATATATATATATATATAGTTTAAAAATATATAAATTTATTTATAATAACAATTATAAAATTTTGCATTACAATATATTAAAAATAAAATATTAATTTGTTTAATATTTAAAATTACTAGTGAAAAACAATTACGAATATTTGCATTTATAAATATTATATTACATATACATATATATATATATGTTTATAAATGTTTGTAATTTATTATTATTAAAAATAAGAAGAATATTTGATTGGAAAATACTCAATTGGAAATATCACGAATGATTATTATTTTCATTTGGGCATTTCGATTAATTACGACACTTAACGTGTCTCGATCAACGTTTAATCTGAAAATGTTTTAAGGTAATGGCATCTATAATTTCATTTCATGAAATGATATTAATGGATATACCTATTCGTAGTGTAGGTTGGATCTACTATCGATCAAATTTCAAACCTTCATATATATATATATATATTTAGTACTACGAACCAATGGTTTTCTAACTCGAAATAGAAAAATGATGAACATACTCGTAGATGTTTGCTTATTTCGGTAAAAGAAAGTTTTGTTTGAAAATTTGTGCAAAAAAAAAAAAAAAACTCTTTACAATCAACTTTCATTCTTTGTCCCATTCTTCTTCTTCCTCTTCTTCTTCTTTTTCTTTTTCTTTGATTCTATTCTCGAGAAAATGGAGAAGAAAGTTTCACGGTATGATCCATTACCATTGAGAAGGGGGAAAGAGGGGGAGAGGGAAAACTTTGATATCATTCCTGTTACTAAACTCAAAAATTTGTATTTTTGACTTGAAAGATAAGATATACTTCTTAAACTCAGTCATGACATTCTTCAATAAACTTTTACAATAATATTACTTGATGGTATATCTTTCTTCAAGTTATATATATATATATCTATATTGGGATATGTAGCACTTGAATACGCTATCTGGTGGCTAAATTCAAAATTAGAGTAAATAGGTCGAATTGTTACACCACGTGGGATCTCTAGCACTTGAATACGCTATCTGGTGGCTAAATTTAAAATTAGAGTAAATAGGTCGAATTGTTACACCACGTGGGATCTCTAGTACTTGAATACGCTATCTGGTGGCCAAATTCAAAATTAGAGTAGATAGGTCGAATTGCTACGCCACGCTCCTGTCAGAAATTCCAATATATTTAAACATTTCATTGATATCAAAATGATTTGATCATTTACAACGTGAAACGTGATGTTAAACCAACATTATCGTAGTATTTTTATTAACACCAAAAACTTGTCATTTTAACACGGTCAGTATTTTATACTAACGACGAGTATATACGTGAATTACATTTAAACTGGTTAAAATTAGATTAAACGTCGTTAAAATAAGAAAGGTTGTTCGAATATCGTAAAAGAAAAAAAAAGAGGTGTTGGAAGATGAACATATATAGAAACTATGGCCATTAAATGACCTGTTTAGTGACCCTCAATTATTTTTGATTGCTACGAACACTTTGAAATGAAGTGTTCCTTTGGAACACGAGTTATTATAGTTCGGATGACATGATCGATACTACTTTAATTAGGCGTCTATTTTACCACGTTGAAGACGACGTATATGACGCCTTGATTAATTAAAGATATTCATTCTCACGAAGTAGATAGTATAAGTAGCTTTTTTTTTTGTTATTTATTTATTATAATTTATCTACTTTGTTTGTTTGTTTGTTTTTTGTTATGTGTGTTTTATGTCACATTAGAAATTGTAATTTATAATATACTTCAAATGATAATTAATCTTGATCCAACTTATATTAGATGTTAATTTATCTTGTTACATAAATAAATAAGTATATTGAGATTAATTATTATAATATACATATAAATATATTATATTAAAATTAGAAATTGATCAATTTATATATTTAATAATGATTATTATTAAATATATATATATATTAAAATCAGCAATGAATCAATTGCCAATTCAATATTACGAAATAAATACATTAACGCGAGTTTATTTAAAACTTCTAATTATACTAATTGTAATATTTAAACCCTATAATAATAATTTTCGTGAAGATAAATAATTTTTATATATATATATATCAAAAATAAATTATACCAAATTATATATAATAATTATATAATAATAATTATACCAATTATATACGAAAACATTTTATAATAAATTTAATAAATGAAAGAAATTAATTGATACATAATTAATAACTTTTAATTAGATTGAAATATAAATACTTTACATTTATAATAATTCT